GGTCTCTTCCAACCCACACAATCCTGAATTCTGTAGTGATCTGGAATAGTTACAGCTCCTGACTGTGCTGCTTTTCCTCCACTTTATTGATGCCAATGCAGCCATGAGAGCAGTGAGCTGGGGCTGCTGGGCTGTGCTGTGCTGCCCCCTCACTCACACTGTGTCCTTTGCAGGCCCTCACGGCGCTGCTCTCCGACGACAGCAAGTTTGGCTTCATTGTAATAGATGGGAGCGGGGCCCTGTTCGGGACACTGCAGGGCAACACGCGGGAAGTGCTGCACAAATTCACTGTGGATCTTCCAAAGAAGCACGGTAACTCACTGGGCTGCCTCTGTCCTGGGCTGGGATGGCAGGGTGGAGCTTGGCCTGTGGGGGTTTAGCTCTGCTCAAGTCTGTGCTCCCTTGGAATCTGACAGCAAAGCCTCCAGTCTGAGCCTTCTGTCAGAATTAATGAATCACAGCAATATTCAGTTGATCTCAGAAGTGGCACTTTTTGTTTCTTGCTGCGTTTGACCCTTTCTTTGGCTTTGGGACAGTTGTAACTCAGTGTTAGTAGCCCAAGCAGCAATCCCACTCAGTGGGGTTGTTAAGGTTTGATGTGCTGGGGCTGTGTGCACCCTGCAGGGAGGAGCAGTGAGCTGCTCTCTGCATGGGGCTCATGGAGCAAGGAAAATTCGAGTTCCACTCTGTGCTGCTGTGTTCTAGCCAGCCACTGATGAGTTCAGCAAATTGTCTGCTGGTTACTCCCAGTCCACTGTCCTTTGTAGAGTGGGATGGGACAAAATGAAACAAAAGCACTGCCTCCAGTGAGGCTGTGCAGCAGAGACTGCTGGGCTGTGCTGATTCAGCAGTGTTTGAGGCAGTTTACAAAGGAAATTGCTTCTCTTGAAGGTACAGGGAGAGAAGATGTGCTCAGATGTTCCATTTCTACAGAGTTGTGAGTCTTTATAGAAAGAAAAGAAACATTTTCCTCTGTGGAGAAAAATCTCCTGGTGGGAATGAGCCCTCTTTATTCTCTGAGTGTTCATGGCAGCCCTTGCCTCGGCTCAGGGCACACTGAGTTCGGGAGGCTGCAGCTGCCCTTGGCTGTGGTTATTCCGGGCCAGCTGTGTCCTGAGGGTGCTGCTGGCGTGCAGTGTGTCCCCATGGGTGCCCTGTCCCTCCCTGCAGGCAGAGGAGGAGCACGGGGTGATCGCCGGTCGCCGCGGCTTCGGGAGCATCTTCGTGGTGGCCAGTGGCAACGGGGGCCAGCACAGTGACAACTGCAACTACGATGGATACGCCAACTCCATCTACACTGTCACCATAGGTGAGCCCTCTGTCTGCTCCCCTCGGCCTGCAGCAGTGAGGTGATCCCTAAAGCACAGAGCCTGCCCAGCTGGGAGTCTGTGGGGAATGTCTGGGACAAGCATGGCAGTGTCTGCACACACAAGCAAGCCCAGTGTGCTGGGCTTCAGCCCCCACGCCTGCACTTTGCTTCTGAGCCTCAGAGCAAGAGGAGGCCAAGGAAATTCCTGCCCGTGCCCAGGCCTCCCTCCCGGGGCTGTGACAGACACTACCATGTTCAGGGAATGACCTGGAATGCAGCATTCCCATCATTTGTTAGAGGAGAAGTGTGTGATCCATTCTCCAGAGCAGAGGCTGCATGAGGGGCAGGAGATCTGTGTGACACTGAGCACAGTGAGGGATTATTTATCATTGCTGCCCTTCCTGTAGATCTTCTAGATGGGCAAACACAGGCTTGGTTCTGGTTCCCCTGCCCAGCTCCCAGGCCCTGGAGGAGCACATGGCAGGAGAGGCTCTCAGGGATCACCACCCCGAAGTCCCAGCAGTGGGAGCAGGGCAGTTTCACACAGGGGTGCCTCTCCCTTTTCCCCAGGAGCTGTGGATGAGACTGGCTCCATGCCCTTCTATGCTGAGGAGTGTGCCTCCATGCTGGCTGTCACCTTCAGCGGTGGGGACAAGATGATGAGGAGCATTGTGAGTACCCGTGTCCCTGTCTGTGCCCTCCTGGCCACCCCAGGGACAGCCAGGACATGGCTCTGTCCCCTCTGATTCCCTTTCATTCCCTCTGATGCACCTTTTGTCCAGGCCCTGCACAAGCAGAGGGAGGCTCCTGTTTCTCAGCCCCCTCGCTCTGCTCCCAAGGGATGCTGGAGCACGGAGGGCAGGGAGAGCCTCGGGCTCTTTAAACCACTTGGCCCCAGCTTCTCCTCTGTTCTGGCACGTGGGCCTCTCCCAGTTGAATTTTTAAGAATATTTTTATCAGCTTTTCCCTTCTTTTGCCAAAAAACGACTTCTCGTCAACAACACGTCCTTTCTGCCCGAGCCAAGCAGGCAGGGCTGTTTTCCCCCCTGCAGGCCTGAGCCAGCCTGTCCCTCCCTTGGTGCCAGGCTGCCCCCACCCCAGTGCTGTGACCCCTTCCTGTCCTGTGGGGCCAGCAGGGGCTGCAGAGCCCTCCCACCCCAGGGCAGCTCCAGGGAAACATTGCTGCCTCCTGATATTTGGGGTTGGCTGTCCATGTTTGGAGGATCTCCCACCAGGACAGGACTTCCCAAAAGCTCTTTCCTGTGGCTCTGTGCCTGCCACAGTCCAGGCTTGTCAAACTGGCTGGGGAAACCTGGGGAACAGGGAGAGCCTGGGATCCTCAGGCACCTGGCCGGGGCTCAGCCAGCTCCTGCTGCAGCCCAGAGCCAGGGCAGGGATCTGTGCCCAGCCAGGGCACGGCACAGTCTGCCACAGGGACAGTAAAACCCAGAGCAGGGCTGATCCTTGCTGTCAGAAATCCCTGCACTTGTCCCAGGCTGGTTTGGAAAGTGCTGACCCTGGGAAAAAAGGGAACCAGCGAGGGCTGTGCTGCATTCCATCAGGGCTTGGTCTGGCTTCCCCCAGCATGCTGTGAGTGCTGTGGAGGTCACAAATGCACCTTCATTTTTAACACTGGCTTTGTGGGACACTGACAGGGGAGCTGGCACTCCATGGGGCACCAGGGTGAGGTGCACACATAGCCTGGGAGCAGCCTGTACCACAGTGGCTGCTTCAGCCAGCCCTAGCCTTGCTAAACCCCACACAGCCCTTTCAGGAGCTCCTAAACCCCACACAGCCCTTTCAGGAGCT